TCTGGATCTATTGGCAGCGCTTTCTCCTTTTTGGAAGAGGAGGACGCAATCTTAATAAACATGTGATAAAGCTACTTGCTGCAAACCTTTTTTATTTTATCAACAAGGACAGCAACAGGATCATCGCGTCAGAAGAACAGGCTCAAGGATGTCTGCCTAGGATGGAACGCTCCCCGGATCAGGAGCACGATATTCCAAAACAAGCTGATAAATCGACTGGAGATGGAGCGACTGCTTCCCTTGCTCCTCCCCCCTCCCTCTCTGCTCCTCCAAGCATTCACAGGATTCAATGGATACCAATGAAGAAATGTCTTCCGGACCAGAGTTTCTTAAATTTACAGATGGAATGAATCAACAGGTTCGCCTCGGCACGTCTCTCCTTAGCACTCACGTTACAGACCTCACTACATTTAAGCCACCTGCCCCTGACTTCCCAGAGGATCCATCACTCTGCGTTTCTGAGGTCTGAGGCCGGGGACCAGATATTATCTTTACACCCGTCTCCATCCAGAATGTGTCTGGCCCCCGGGTTCTGCAGAACAGGACATTACCTGTCCGGATCACTACAAGAAAATTTACAAAAACCAGAAATATGAAATACAGCGGTCCTAATTCAAACCTCAGAGTGATCCCCTGCCTAAAGGAACCTCAGACTGAAAATCTTTTTGCCTCCAAGCCACTTAAAGTAGCTCTTTTAAATATCAGATCACTCTGTGCTAAAGCTCTGTTAATTAATGATTTCATCACTGAGTATAATGTTGATGTTATGTTTCTGACAGAAACATGGTTGAATGACGATAATGAGCAAATTGTACTCATTGAATCAGCGCCTCCTGACTACAATTTTTTAAGTGAGAATAGAAAACATAAAAAAGGAGGAGGCGTGGCTTCTATATTTAAAAATACCATAAACTGTAGTAAAATCTCTTTCGGTCATTTCACATCTTTTGAGTATCTTGGAATTCAGGTTAAAGGCTTCAAACGAACTTTGACACTAACTTTATACAAAACTCCAGCATATGTGGAAAATTTCTTTACTGACTTGAATGATCTTCTTTCTCTCATATGCATTGATTATGATTGTTTAATAATTGTTGGTGATTTTAACATTCATGTGGACAAACCCGAAAACAGAGGAGCAAAAAAGCTCTCTGATATTTTAGAAAATTTTGGTTTAACACAAAATGTTAAACAAGCAACACACACTCAAGGACACACACTGGTTATCAGTAAGGGTGTGAATATTTCCAATGTCTCTGTAACTGATGTCGCCCTGTCGGATCACTTCGCTGTTATCTTTGAAGGTTCTTTATTCTTTGACCCACTTGGACAAACAGCTACTGTCACAAAACGTTCTTTCACAGAAAACATTTAATCAAATCTACTCTTCCTCCTCACCCTTAAACTGTAATGATGTAGATCAGTTGTTAGATGATTTTCAGTCTAAAGTTTCATATATCATTGATTCCATTGCCCCAATTAAAGTAAAGGTTTTGACTGGTAGAAAGAAATCTCCATGGAGAAATGCACAAATAGTTCGGTCTGCAAGACAAGTCTGCCGCAGGGCAGAACGACAATGGCGTAAAACTCAACTTCACGTTCATCACGACATCTACAAAGAAAAACTACGTAACTATCACTTAACACTAAAACATGGAAGGGAGGCTTTCTTTGCAGATGTCATAAACAAAAACATCAACAATGCTCGAACTTTATTTGCAACAGTTGACAGGCTCACAAACCCTCCTGTGACATTACCACCTGAACTCCAATCTAATGCTGCCTGTAATAAGTTTTCTGATTTCTTTTCAGAGAAAATCCAAAAAATCAGAGGATTAATCTGTACATCAACTTCAAAGCCAGAACCATTGCTGTACCAAAACAAAACAAATACAGAAAAAATGACCCATTTTCAACTACTTAATTATAAAACTCTAAAAGAAATCATAAGTCAATTAAGTTCAAGCTCCTGCTGTCTGGATGTCCTTCCCACACATTTCTTTAAGAAAGTCCTGCCTGTTATTGCTGCTGATCTGATCCAAATCATAAACTCATCGCTTACATCAGGTGTTTTCCCCCAGGCTTTGAAAACAGCAGTCATCAAACCACTGTTAAAAAAGAACAACCTGGACAAATCACTACTGCAGAATTACAGGCCGACCTCTGACCTCCCATTCATCAGCAAAGTTATTGAAAAAACTGTGTGTAAACAATTAAATAGTTTCCTCATGATGACCAACTGCTTTGACACTTTCCAGTCTGGTTTTCGTGCTCACCACAGCACGGAGACTGGCCTAGTCAAAGTATTCAATGATATCCATATAAATACGGACTGTGGGAGAACCACGGTGCTGGTTCTGTTGGATCTCAGTGCAGCTTTTGACATATTACTGAATCGACTTGAAAGTTGGGTTGGACTCTCCGGTTTGGTGCTCGACTGGTTTGAATCCTACATAAAGAACAGGGATTTCTTTGTTTCAATTGGAAACTTCTCATCAAAGAGGTCAAAGGTCACATGTGGGGTACCCCAAGGTTCAATCCTAGGACCCCTCTTATTTAATATTTATATTCTCCCACTAGCTCAGGTCATAACAGGAAATAATATTAGCTACCACAACTATGCGGATGACACACAGCTCTACATTACGATGTCACCAGGTGACTCTGAACCCATCCAATCACTGAATAAATGCTTAGAGCAGATAAATGTGTGGATGTGCCAAAACTTTCTCCAACTGAACAAAAATAAAACAGAAGTCATTATTTTTGGACCTAAAGAGGAACAATCTAGAGCTATAGATCTAGAGCTATAGATCTAGAGTTATAGATCTAGAGCTATAGATCTAGGGTCAATGCACAGCTTCAGTTATTACAACTAAAACCTAGCGATCAGGCCCGAAACCTGGGAGTAGTGATGGACTCGGACTTGAACCTCCAGAGCCACATAAAGACAGTAACAAAATCGGCCTTCTATCACCTGAAGAACATCTCCAGGATTAGAGGACTAATGTCTCAGCCAGATCTAGAGAAACTCATTCATGCGTTTGTCTTTAGTCACATTGATTATTGCAACAGCGTCTTCACAGGCCTGTCCAACAAATCAATCCTCCAGCTGCAGCTGATCCAGAAGCTGCTGCTCCTGTTTCTCACTAAAACCAGGAAGATAGAGACATAACACCAGTTTTAAAGTCGCTCCACTGGCTCCCTGTAGCTCAAAGAATAGATTTTAAAATACTGTTGTTAGTTTATAAATCACTGAACGGTTTAGCACCACAATACATCAAAGATCTGCTGTTGTTGTATCAACCTTCCAGACCTCTCAGGTCTTCTGGTTCTGGTCTGCTCTGCATCCCCAGAACCAGAACCAAGAGAGGAGAAGCAGCTTTCAGCATCTATGGACCAAAAATTTGGAACAAACTTCCAGAAAACTGTAAAACAGCAGAAACCCTGACTTCCTTCAAATCTCAAGTAAAAACGCACCTGTTTAGAGTTGCATTTGAAATGTAATATGTATGGATTTGATTTTGTGGATATGTATGTAATTTTTTTTTTTTTTTTTTTTTTTTTTTCCTGTTGTGGGCAACGGGGCCCGGCGAATACCCGTGGTTAAACGGACGGCGGAGTCCGGCGGTAACAGGCGCTTAAATTCCGTGTCAAAGGGAAGGGGGAAAAAAAAAAAAAAAAAAAAAAAAAAAAAAAAACCTTGGTATTTTATTCTATGTTGCATGCCTTTGTGTTTTGTGTTTATGATGTAAAGCACTTTGAAATGCCTTGTAGCTGAAATGTGCTATACAAATAAAATTTGATTGATTGATTGATTAACATATCTTCGTTAGCCACCTTTGTCCAGCCCACCCCCCACCATGTTTCCTTAGGCTAAAAAAGGACTTTATATGTCTATAGTTGCCAAAGAAAAGAACACAGACACCATGTCACATCAGCAAAGTTGCAAAATAATGCACATAAAGGATAACTTTGACTAAAATATTAGCTTTTAATTTGTTAGATTAAAAATGGAGGGGAAAAACCCATTTGCCTGCCTTTAAAATATGTTGAATATTAATAGAATAGAATAGAATAGCATTTATTGTCATTGAACAGGATTCAACGAAATTTCTATTGCAACTCCCGTGCAAAAAGTCAAATATATTTTTTGCTGGGTTGATGTTTGGGTTGATGTTACAGTAACAGAGTTTAATAACTTTAATAACCTCACAGCAAGGTAGCATTGGCTTGAATTGCTCATAGCTAACATTACAAAGAAAGACAATATAGTCAATGTAATTTTCTCAAAGAAAATGTAAAGTTAATACGACACATACCTCATATGTATTAGGTGACAAACTTCAGTTTCTTTTTAAACAGAAAGTCTGGCCGTTATAACTTGTGTTGGTTTGGCCCCACAAGATGGAAGATTTCTTCTTCAACACATTGCACGCCTATTCGTGCATTGCTGCCACTCACTGGTAGAAATGGTGTATTACAATACTTAAATCAGCCTTACCTAATGTTTCAAATGCAACGCTCTTAAGTGCTTTGTAGACATCTTGCCATAAAACGTCAGATCAATTAGATCAATTAGAAATTAAAGTCTAAATAAAATGGCAGAGCAATATATTACCCGATAAAGCTACATCATTTTTAAAGTTTAATCAGTAATACTTTTGAAACAAATTTATGACAGATCACAATTTCTTGCTTAATGTCAAGGGTCATAACAGACATTTTGAATAATGTCAACTTTGTATTAAAAGTGTCATTATTTACAGAATGACACTTTATGACAACAGTCATAAATATTCATGAACACCTGTTATGTCAAAAACATGATATAACAGGTTATGTCATGTTTGTGACAGTGTCATGTCAGTCTTATCCATACCCTGTCAAATAAAGTATTACCAAATGAATTAACAAAAATACAACATTTCATTTCACTTGGTGTTCAGGGTAAAAAATACTAATGAGAATTCAAAGTGACAGCAATTAGAAGTTCTTACCAACTCCAGCAGCTTTCAGGGTTTGGTCATCTTGTAAAATTAACTTTTCATCATCATCCAAACTCAATACCAACTCACTTGTCTGAAACAATAGAACCAAATATGTACAGTTTATTAGTATTACTTTAAATTAAATATTTCCAGTTGAATCAGTAGTTGAAGAAGCAGTTTTGGTGAAAATTCATAATATGCACATCTTGATTTTTGTACAAGCTTATCTTGTGCAAAACAGTTTCGTTTGTCGTAAACAAAATCTGGCGAGCTGAAACTCAATAGACATGGTGTACTCTGAAAGAATAACCTGTCACAGGTCTAAAACAAACCATACCTTACTGTCAAACTGCTTAGTTAAGTGATATCAGCAAAAATAGGCGTAACCACAGTTTACCAGCCTTCAACAGGTTTTTGAAAGCTGGTTTGCAGCAGATACTGGATTTATTTATCACTCCATTTTTCAGACAGTCCATAAATGTTGCAGCTTTCCCTAATTACTGAACAGAGAGCAGATACACACCAGTGACATTCTCAGCTCTAGAATACATGTGTAAATACTATTAAATTTTACTCTGGATTCACCTAGTCATTTGAACAGCTAAGTATCTCCTGCAATGACTTTGGAAATCAAAAATACCTATACTGTAGATTTAAAATCAATTCCTTGTTATAGCTGTACTTTATAGTAACGTTTTGGGTGTCAAACTTACAATGCAGAAGCATACTGCCCCACTTCTCACATTTTTGAAGGTTTGTAATCCCCTGTGCACTTATGAAGTGTGTTCATAGAGTACACACTTCTATGGAACACACACCATGTACTTCATAGAGTATACTGTGTGTACTCACTAATATAGTACTTCACAGAATACTCTATGAAGTACTTATCAAGAAAACCAGAGATCAGCCCATTTCCCCATGCTGGAGATTTTAGCTTGAAGTAAAATGACATGACAGGGGCATGGCTTGAAGCTTAAAGTTAATTTTAAATATAATCACACAAAGTAACACCTAGATCCAACAGTAGACTCAAACTTCAATAAAATTGGTAGGCCTGTCACGATACCAAATTTTCTCGAGCGATTGTCTCAAAAATTATTGCGATAAACGATAATATATTTTGAAGACCTTTTTACACTGATTTAATGGAAATGATGTAATAATGCATGCCAAATATAGATACACTTTATTTTCAAAAGAATACTTAACACTGGAACTGAAAAAACAACCAAAAACAAAAATAAAATGGATTCTCAGTCTCTATCAACAAAAAATGTACTTGGATAAAAACTCAACAGTATGAAGCCAAAGTGGAAATAAACACTGCATTCAACCAAAAGAGTGCAGATTATGAAGACTGTATACTATATAACCTGGTAAACCCGGTAACTTTTCAGCTGTTCATCGTTAACGTGACATAAATATGTTATGATTTTCATTCAGTAAGGACTGACACTGGCCACATGCATTGCAGTAAAGCATTGATTAATGGCTGGTTTTAAAATTAGTTAGCTGGACTTGTAGCCATTATTTACACCATGCAACAGTCATTATATTGCTTGGTTCCTAGAGATGAGCAGGTATCACCACAAGGGGGCGCCTATTCCCTTTTTCCTTTGTTGTACTATTGTGCAGAGTGAGAACTCTTGTAGAGGAGATGATCAGTGATGAAGAGGAGCAGAGCGGTAAACTGTCGTTACTTTTCCCATGTATGAGACTATAATCTATGGAGATCTGGCTTTAGATGGACGAAGCGAAATAAAGTGAAAGTGTGGAAATCTTCAACAGTTCGTCCTGCTGTTTTGGGTTAGAGTGGCTAACCGCCATTGCTAACTCCTTCCCCAATCTCTCACCGCACCGTCACAACCATACGAACCATTATACTTAGTGTTTCTGTCGGCTAATGTGTGGCCTCTCGGGTTTTGAAAATGGGCCGACTATCGGCCGACAGCTTTAAGATCGTTAGTGTGTGCTGGGCATTAAGGAAATGAGGAAGAGAGGGTCAGTGGAGAGCACCACCGTTTAGCCTTTTTCATTCAATCATCAACAGAAAAAGGCCGGAAGAAACGATATAGCCGATAATTGAAATGTGGTCGATAGCTTCAATTTATCGTGCGATTAAATGATTTATTGTTTATCGCGACAGGCCTAAAAATCGGGTTGTTTTTGTTGTTTTGTCTGATGCAAATTTTGCTTGAATTCTATTTCTTTTTGTATTTAATCATAAGAAATTATGGTCAGGCAAAGAGAGTGTCATCAAACAGAACAGCCTGAAAAAAGATGAAGTAAGTTTCTAGCTTGCAGATTTATAAAAATAGTTGAGACTATTCCTTATTTTAATGCATAAAAGTTTTAAAGAATTAAGTCTTAACAAATTGAGTATTCTAATAAGACCCAATACAGAATACTTATATTTTCTCTTGAGAATGAACAATTGTAACTTTGGTTTCAAATAATTAGAATCATGGATGATTCCTGTTTTCTCTTCAGAAGAACACCTAGTTTTACTCAAATTATCATTATAATAAGAGAATATTATAATGATTTGTATATTATTGATACAAAAACATTGTTACATGTTTTTGTATCAATAATACAATGCTAAATCAGAGAATCTAAAGAAGTTTTGGATGTGATTTTGATAATGAATTTGAAATGATGTAATAGCTGCCCATATAAAAAGCAAAGTAATTTTTTAGGAGGCCATTTCCTACCAAATCAATAAAAGTCCCCCAGGTTTTCATGGAATGAGTCACCATTAGAACATGGAAACATAAAACACCAATGTCACTAAGCACTTTTCAAATACATTGCTCCATTTGAATAAAATTCATTTGTATTTGTTTCATTTAAAACCCCTAACCTGCACCAACACGCCCACGTGCCGTTTTTCCATTGTATTTTCCAGGGGTGAGATTTATGGATTTAAACTCTGCCTGTATCTATTGTGACGCTTTTATTAGGCAGCCTAATTTTGGTGATTCTGGGGATGAGAGTTAAGCAACATAATCCAACACAATCTCTATAAATCTCAAACTGAGAAGTCTTTTTTATTTAGAAACAAACCATTTTGATGCTGCATTGTGTGACTTTCGAACAGACAAATACCTTTGAACCATGAGCTTGATGGATAATCTTCATAGTGTCTGAAAATACAAAATAGCAGAATTTGAGAAACAAAATCATGTTGATCTCTTAAGTTTTTTAAAGTGAAACCTGGAGATGTAGGTAGGATTCATTTAGTGCTACGGAATGGGAAAAATACCTCAAAACCACTCACTCTTCTTTCTTCATGTCAGCTTTGTGCTATACGTTGGCATAGCAACTGACAACAGCGCAACTTTATGTACCTGAATTCAGCACCAAAAACACTCAAACATTACCCCACATAGAACAGAACATTCAGTTACAGTTGTGGATTTTCAGGCTTGATCTTTATTTTGTGATTCTGAGTAAGTGATTCCTGTGGTAGATTAGCCACTGCTGCTTTTATTAGCCGATCTCATTGATTAGGTCATTTAAACACCTGCTCTATTGATGATCTGTCAGTTTGTGTGTAGGTCACCTTCCTGACACACCTTACTAACCCTAACACACCTTACTAACCCTAACACACCTTACTAACCCTAACACACCTTACTAACCCTAACACACCTTACTAACCCTAACACACCTTACTAACCCTAAGACACCTTACTAACCCTAAGACACCTTACTAACCCTAACACACCTTACTAACCCTAACACACCTTACTAACCCTAACACACCTTACTAACCCTAACACACCTTACTAACCCTAACACACCTTACTAACCCTAACACACCTTACTAACCCTAACACACCTTACTCCACAACACATCTGAGTTAAGTTTGTCAAAGTCAAGCAAGTAACTGAGCTACTTTCCTCTCCCTTGCCATTTTTCTTCTGAAGACTTTTTTTCTGATCTTGTCATAGTGTAGACAATTCATACCAAACTACTGCATCCCTTTTTATTTTATATGTCTAGCAGAGAGATGAGGGCGGGAACTTGCGTGGAATGAGTCACCATTAGAACATGGAAACATAAAACACCAATGTCACTAAGCACTTTTCAAATACATTGCTCCATTTGAATAAAATTCATTTGTATTTGTTTCATTTAAAACCCCTAACATTTAAAAACCCTTGCAGCAGGTGACATCCTGCTGCAAGGGATCTATAACTGAAAATATAGATCCCTATATTTTCAGTTAATATTCAGTTAAGAATATTGTGATATATGTTGTGTATCATGATATAGCGAAAATATATCAGAATATTAGATTGTTGTCATATTCCCCAGCCCAACTGCAAAGCATGTTTTTTAGTTTTTGTGTTTTCTTTATTTCAAATAAATAACATTAATAAACATAGAAGATCTTCATCACAAAGATAAAGTTCCCGATACTTTAAAAAAAAAGAAAAAAAAAGAAGTAATCACAGACATTGACAGCGTTTTTTGTTTTCCATTCTTCAAAGCAGAATGAATATATTTATTTTTTTAAGCCTTTCTTTGCTCATCCTCCAAATCTACAAATTATGGTTCCATGTTTTGTAAGCGAGCAGAGAGCCTGAGTACAGACTAAGTATGAGCGCTACAGGTTTTGAGAACAAAAGACATAAAATTCTGTTTCAGACTGAAAATATGGAATCTTGCACCATGGCAGAAAATTCCCCAAGATTTTATCTGCCTCACCTCTCCCCTGCCGTTCACTCTGAGCCAGCCACCAGGCAGAAGCACTGGGAGGAGAAAGACTGTCGTATTCTGTGTATCGCGTCAGATATTTTAAGGACGCTTATTGGTCTCCAGAAAAACTATAAAAACACATATTATCAATCAATAAAATCCCCCTGGACCACACTTGAAAATTGGACATTATCATCAAAACTAATACAAAATAGTATTGATTAATACTAAATGTAGTACTCATTTAGTATTCATCAATACCTCAGAGGGAGAAGTGAGAACATTTTGCAACATAGAAAAATCACCCAGCCCTGTCTCATGAACTAAATAATAAAACATCATTTAAGAAGCTTCAAGGCAGATAATTGTCCTTGATTAATTTTAATGATTGAGGTACTGGAATCATGCAAGGAATTGTTATGGCCTTAAAGTAACAGTAGAACCGGATCTGAGTTAAGATCCAAAAAACAAAAATTTATGAGCCTAATCTTAACTTTCAACATGTTACTTTCTTTTTTAAAGTTCCCACATTACACCAACAGGGAGATTTAGAAAGAAAAACAATAATCTTTCCTTAAGGATATAGTTGCTTTAAGAGATGTTAGCTCTGGTGCACTGAAGAATTACAGAACAATACTGACAATCAATTACACTTTGTTTCAGAAACTTATTGTGAAAATAATAAAACAAACATACCGTATCCATACTTTCTGAAAGGAGGAGGAAGTCCTTCCCTTGTGGCAATATCTGGAAGAAATGTATGTCTCAAAATTGAAACAGTGATCAAAACTTTTATAACTGTAATAATTTTTTATAACAAAAAATTGTTTAAATTACTTTTTGTCTCATGTAGTGAAAAAGATATTTGCAAAGCAAACTTATTTGCGCATGCCAGAAATCTGTAGTTGCTATTTTCTAATTTTTGCTTGCAAATCACAGGAACATTCTGGGCGGGGCTTACAAGCACTGAGCAGCAGCTGCACTCTGCTGCTCATAATGCCAAGAGGAATTAGGAGAACACCAATTTACCGTAATTTCATAACATAACGCAAAAGGCAAAAAGGCCTATTACATATAATTTAAAATTAACTAAATACAAGAGACACATACACACCAATTATCACTGAAAAAAGGCAGAAATGATGTGAATATCCTACCTCAGCCTGTGATCTACCAGCTTGGTTTTTCATCTGGAAGAAAATATATATTTAAGAGTTACATTATCTCTCCTCATCCACAGCACTGATTATGTGCTTGGTGAATAAATAATCTGTACGGTCACTTGACAGTTTTTTAACACATATTTGCTCCAGATACATTTGGTACATTAATCATTTTGTGATGATTACCTATCATTCACATTCTGTGTCCTGTCACTGAAGAGAAGCAGCAGTTCAGGACAGAGTTCTGAGGTGGTCAGTCAGTCTTTCCTTTAGTCAGCGCTAACCAATAGGAACACATCTTACATTGTTCGTCTTTAAGCCCCGCCCAAAATGTTCATGTGTGTGTGATTCGCAAGAAAAAATTAGAAAATCGCAACCAAAGTTTTTCGTCATGTGCAAATGACGAAAAACTTTGGTAGAACATTATCAACAAAAACTGTGCAAATAAAAGTTTGTTTTGCAAATAACTTTTTCACTTCTTGAGACAAAAATCTGTGATTTTAATACAAAAAAATCTAAGAAAAAAATAAAAGTACATTTTTAGGTCTAGCCCCACCATTGTTTGATCAATGGTTTAGTCCAATGTGCAAGTAGCTGAACGGTAAAAGTTGTCAGAGCTGCTCATGGTAACTGTGGCTGTGCAGCACAGACAAAAGTAAATACTTAAAGCAAAAGACATCTAAGCCTTTTATTTACTTTTACTGCTCAATAGGAAGAAACACATTAACAATAAATATCAGACTGAATTTGTTATTTAATTACTTTGGCTGAATTATGTTAACCTGCCACATTATGTCTTCAAAATCAAAAGTATCAAAACTGGCTACATTGCTTTGATAGACTTAAAACTTCTTTTTGTCAAAGGTAGCAAATGTCTCAATTATATTTAGCTCTCTAACGCTGACATTAATGAGAAGAGTTTGAAACGGGAGAGAGTAAGCATTAGTTGACAGCTCAGTGTGTGGGAGCTCAGAGCAGAAAGAAAAACAGAAAGGTTGGTGTGCCTTTATTTCTTACTATCGTCAACATAGAGCCTTTAAATCCACAAAATAAAATCTGGATATTTTTCTATAAAAACATGAGCATTAACTTTAAGTTATGATGCTTCCCAGATATTCATTATTACTGTCTGCTTGGTTCTAAGCCAGGGGTGTCAAAGTCAAATGGACGGAGGGTCAAATAAAACATTTGGCTACAAGCCGAGGGCCGGACTGTCCAATCTTCATTGAAACCAAGATTTAACCTACTGAAAGCATAACAAATATATTACAATATGATTGGATAAATAAAGCAATATTTTCTTATGACTCTGTCAGTCATTTTTAATTTCAGCAGGCACAAAATACAAATGTCCTTTATATAAAAAACTCATAACATGAACATTAAATGTATGAAGTGATAATTATTTAAGGCACCATCAGTATATTCCCTCATTTAGCAAAAATGGGCTGAATTTAGGCAACTTCAAAGAAATAAATAATAAACAATTTTCTATCATTCACTCAACTGAAATAATTAAAAAGAAATATTGCCTCAAAATACAATAAAATAAAGTGCAAAAATCTCTTGTTACTTAAAACCAATAGCAATTAACACACTGGACTGCATCTGTCCTGCTCAAATGTACATTGACTTTCCTTTCTGTGCTTTCTCTGGGTTAGTGTGAAAAAAACAAATAATAACAATCAAAAGTCATTTTCTCTGTTAAATAGGAGACAATTTTATCAAAAGACTGTTGTCCACTTCACGATCTATTTTCCATGAAAGGCCGAAAAACAAGAAACACTCCCAGGAACGGAGTCGGCAAACAAAAACAACATAGTCAACACAGACAAGAAAGCTTTAAAATCCCTGAGGGGAACAACCAAAACCAAGACCTTCTTTGTGTGCATATTTAACTTTTAAACTTGAACAGAGTATTAACTTCAAATATGTAATTGCACAGTAAACATTACTGTATTATTACTGTATTTACATACATTTATATACATCACTGTATTACTGTAACACTACATTACTTGTTTGAGGCTGAGGCTGATACTTGGTGGTGTTTCATCTTTTGCACAAGTTCATCAAAGTTCGGGGTCAGGCTCTGAGCTGAGGAAATCCTCAGAACTGAGTAAAGGTGTTCAGCAGTAAGTCGACTTCTGTGTGATGTTTTGTTCAGCTTCATTAATGACAACAGTTGTTCACAGGTATGTACTGCCAAACATAGACAACGTTTGAGCAGCCTGGGTGCGCAGCTGGGGCATTGTGTCCGGAAGGAAGCGCGCAAACTCCACAGCACCCACTGCTTTGTAATTTGCCTTCAGCGCATCATCGCATTGTAGCTCAATCAACTCCATTTGGAGGTTTGGCGGTGAGCTTTCCACATCAACGGCAAATGGATTGCTGAGCAGTGCAAACCTGTTTTTTTGTGCTTCAAAGTCAGCAAATCGGTGTCGAAAGTCAGCAGCGAGTATACTAATTTTATCAGCAAATTCTGTGCTCGGGAAAATACTGGTAGATAGCTCATCTTTCATGGTCTGACAGCTTGGAAAGTGGCTCAAGTTTTCTTTCCGCATGTGTGCCTCCCACAGAGTCAGTTTGGTTTGAAATGCCTTCACTGTACTGTACATTTCAGAGATGACACGAGCCCGACCCTGCAGTTGCAGGTTCATTGCGTTCAGGTGACTCGTAATGTCACACAGAAAAGCCATTTCACACAGAAACCTTTTGTCTCGGAGTTGTGTTGTGTCTTTCCCTTTGCTGTCCAAGAACAAACAAATCTCCCCACGAAGCTCGAAACACCTGCGCAGCACCTTTCCCTGGCTTAGCCACCGCACCTCAGTGTGATAGGGCAAATCACCATGCTCCGTTTCTAACTCGCTCAGAAATGACTTAAACTGGCGGTGATTTAACCCTTTGGCTCTAATAAAGTTAACTGCGCATGTGATGGTGCTCATTACATCTTTCATTTTCAAGGCTTTACCACACAACGACTCTTGGTGTATGATACAGTGATAAGCTGTTAGCTCACGTGTGACGTTTTCCTTCTGCGTCTTCTCCCGTATCTTTGCCACCAGTCCACTCCTATGTCCACACATCGCAGGTGCTCCGTCTGTTGTCAGACCCACGAGTTTTTCCCAAGGCAGCTCCATCTCGTTTACACATCTTGAGACCTCCTCATACAAATCATGTCCCATAGTTGTGCCATGCATAGGACGTAGCGCTAACAACTCCTCTGTCACGTTTAGGCTGGAGTCCACTCCGCGGATGAAAACTGACAGCTGGGCAATGTCAGAAATGTCTGTGCTCTCGTCCACAGCCAGGGAATATGCGATGAAATCTTTTCCCTTTGTAACAAGCTGCTCTTTTAGATTGTCAGACAACAGGTCTACCCGATGAGCAATAGTATTTCGCTCAGGCTGATGTTTGAAAAGAGCTGTCTTTTGTCTGGGCAAAGTTCGTCACAGACTTTAAGCATACAGTTTTTGATGAAATCCCCCTGTAAATGGCCGGGCTGATTTAGCGATCTCCTCTGCTAAAATAAAACTGGCCTTGACAACAGCCTCGCTTTGTGACTGGGCTTTTCTGAACAGACCCTGTCGCGATTTGAGGCCTCGTTTTAATTCCTCGACCTTCTATAGCCTTTGTTCCATGTCCAGAATCTTGTTTTTGTCTTTGTGTTTTGTTTCGTGATGCCGTCTCATATTAAACTCTTTCATCACCGCCACACTTTCTCCACATAGAAGACACACAGGTTTTCCAGCTACCTCCGTGAACATGTACTCAAACTCCCACCTTGTTTGAAACCCCCGGTTTTCACTGTCCACCTTCCGTTTTGCCATTGTTGATGGGTATCTGTAAGATAACTTTTGCTGGTATGCTAATGACTGATGCTGAATGACTGCTGAATAAATTAAGCCGCCTCCCGCTATGCTCCGCTCGGCGCGTCCCGTTGCATTGTGGGAAATGTAGTATTCGTGCGTACATTATATCTGCGGGCCGGATCTAATAATAGATTAATATCATCACGGGGGCCAGGTAAAACCCTCTCGCGGGCCTGATGTGGCCCGCGGGCCTTGACTTTGACATATGTGTTCTAAGCCATTCAGGACATGAAAAAAACAAAAAAGTTTTAAAAATAAAGCAACTTAAGTTATAATTTAAATGACACATAATTTGTAGTGAGAGCCACTACAATAAAACAATATTCATGAGGAATTTAAAATTTTAAGTAGACTCATTCATTAAAACTTTTTATTTAGAGCCTTACATTTTTGCATAGGTGTAGCAGAGATTAGATCAGTGACACTGAATCAAACTGGTATCTGAAAAACATTTAAACCTTAGTTTGACTTCTATGGGTCTCAACAGTTTATTAGCTGGGAAAAACATGTTTGATGTGCATTACCTCTTACTGCTCATTTTTGGTCCGGTGTTATAGATTAACTGGTGGCTAAATTAACTGGTTGAAACCTTTGCGCACCACAGATGTTTCCAAATTGTAGGTGGCTGTGTTGATGCCTGTTGAAAAATGCTATTTGTGTGACAAAACCGTTTGCAAATCTTTACTATAAATCCCATTTGAAGCAGATATGT